ACACTACTTTCTTTGCACTCTGAGGAACCTCTATATAGCGAAGTCCTAGGTTTAATGAACGATTGATTATTGCCCAGTAATAAAAGAGTTATCATTACAATCACAGTTAAAATAAAATTACATGTCAGTATACAGTGGGGTTTGCAGCATTGCAGTGAGTGACTAATGTTTCGTGCGGTGATGCATAGCAGTCCTTTTTATCGCAACTAATGATAGGCTGATTTAGCAACAGGACGGGAACGTCAGTTGGCAATAGGAAAGCACGCGGAAAGGACTAAACACGACTTCCAGTGCCCAATTTACCGCTCTGCCATTGGTCAAGCCAGTTGTTTGATTTGCGCGCACCATTGTCAACAGACGACTCCCATTCTGTTGCTAAATCAGCCTAATATTGTTATGTCCCAATAATCCAATGTCCCTCTTCACATGTGTTGCATTTAGTAAAATACAATAAATATAAGACAAAGTTGACGTTTGGTTTCTCTGAAAATTTGCTGTTCTACCATTGTTATATGATTCATGGCAATAAAGCATGATATCACTAGAGAAATGTGACTAAAAACCCTTAAATCCAGGCCCTACATGCAGGTTATATTCTACAAGGTTAAAAGTGCATTTTTGCATTATTTACTAAAATAGAAGATATATGTAGCTTGCAACTAATTAATCAGCCAGCGTTCTGGATTAGGTCACTCGCTGCCGCGCTGTTCCTTCTTCTCCATTTGCATGGCTAATCACTCCATAAGAAAAGCCCATTTGTTTCTGCTCTGTAGAAGACACTAGTGACCCGTCAATGTCTGTAGTAACTGGTGCATATTTCTGTGATTTACCAGGTACAGAGTTTGTCTGATCCAAAGCCTTTGGAGATTGCTGTGCTCGTGTATCTGATCTGGAAAATGCTGAAGATATTTTCCGGGCCACATAGCGCCCAGCTATGAAGAAAAAATTGAATTAAAGTTCGAGTTCAGTGTAGCCAGAAAGTCATTCCTGCTGTCACAGTCTGATATAGGATAAACATACGTGAACTATGGCTACTTGTAACTTTCATTCGAAACAACTGACTTGCATAAAAGAGGTTTATGGGTGTAACTGTTTGTTGACAGTTACTAGGTAGTTAAACCTTAAAACTCTTCAAGCCCATGAATAAAAATTTCAATCTCGAATGCTTCACATTATTACAAGCACCAAAGGTTACCAGCACCTCAGTGTCGTGACGAGAGAAAGAACAGCCTAGGTGTCGCATTCTTACCTAGCAAAACCATTAAGATAAGGTTCTACAAATAGCTTACCGTTAATTATTAGTCACACCATTCTTTGAAATAACAATATTCGGTTCCTTAATTGATTTCCTTTACCCTTTGGCGTACGTTAAATCTTCGTTTTCTTCAAGAAAGTTCAAGAAATAATACGTTGTCAAGGGGGGGGGTGGGGGGTCGGGGGGGGGGGGGAGATGAGGGTTGTGTGCGAATAGGGGGTCGGTGGTTTTTTTTGGGGGTGTTTGTGTTTTGTTTTCGTGGTTGTGTCTTGGGGGGGGGGTGATTAGGGGGAAGGGGAGTGCCGAGAGGAAGGGGGGGGCGGCTTGTGAAGGGGGGGGGGGGGGGGGCGGGGGGGGGGGGGGGTACTGCCATATATGGGCTATATAGGTATGTGCCGCTGTGAAGGGTATGGTTTTCAAGCAGTTTACTCTAGGATAGGGTATATAAATCAGAGCGTTTGGCTCTAGCATAGGCTATCATTTTTCAGGAAACTGATCAGTTGGTTGAAGATTTTATGTAGACTAGGTACACAGCTACTCTAGGATAGGGGGATTTGGGGAGTTTACTCTAGTACAGGGTAGCAAAATTCAGCTGAACTAGCTCTGGTAAAGGTTAAGGGTTCCGGGCTCCCAGCGGCACATCCCCACCCAGAAGTTCCTAAAGTGCCCCCTCCCCCGGGGTGGTGGGGTACATGTGAGCTCTTCTTTGGATCTATACTCCCACCTCTTTGTTTTGCGTATTGGCGAGGAAGCTATGTCTCTGTCAGTAATCTACCATTGTAATGCCCTTGTCCTCATCACTGTTGCAGTTTTCATCCACCTTGCCATCATTTGTAACTATTTTTATCTGTTCTTGTCACCATTTAAGGCCATGCCACTTGTCGGAATTGAGACCCTAGTGAAGCCTTTCCGGTCCTCAAGTGCATAGCCTAATTTGCCTAAGTACGAACAATGTAAGTTAAAACTTTTTTTCTCTAGGCTAATGCTGGTTTGGATGTTTTTATAAAACAAATTAAGATTGGTATAATTCCCAAAGAAACTGCTAAAAAAACTCCTGTATATGCTTGTAAGTATGATGGAAAAGTTGATGTAAGATAAGGAGTCACTGAGAGCCTAATTCTATCCTCCTGCTAAAATTATTGTTTTGGCAAAAAGAATCTGGCAATTCCCAAAATATCTCTGAAGGAGACTCTATCCTGGGATCAACCAGTCACTCCTCATAGAAAAACCTCCATTGAGCCATAAAATGACCACAAAGACCACAAAAAGACTTGTCCTACCCCTGCTTGTCAAAAATGAAACAGCTGTCCATGGTTGATACTGAGCACAGCTATGGCTGTGTGCATAAAGTACCTGCTATCACCTGTTTTCTGCCCCTGTAACCTTCTTCCCTTGCCCTGATCTCCAGGAGAGTACTTTTTTAGCAGCAGTATAGTTGTTCACTTTTCCCTGTGACATGCACACATCCACCCTAAACCTAAATACCAAATGCTTTTTGAGCTTTTATACAAGGAGAGCACAGTTTTTATTCACCATTTTTACAATATAGTTCATTATGGCATAAGGCTACTTAGAATAACTCCCCGAAAATCTCACAAACTGAAAGAGTTGTGCTTCAAGAAAAGCTACCTCTCCAGTGAAAGAAAGTTTGTAGCAATACCATCATTGAATCTTCAGTTTGAAAGTTAATTCAGTGATTCCAAGAGGCAAGAAAAGATCTACTCATGGCCACTTCACTGTATGAATTCAGTATAGGTACAGTGGAACCTCAATACAAAAAAGTGCCAAGGGATTGGCAGACTTTGTTCACTATAACGAGGTTTCATTATATCAGAACCTAGGTATAAGGAACAGGGTGCAAAGAAAATCATTTTTACAACTTGCCATTCGGGCAAGCTGAAGCTAGCATTTACTAGCCTAGACGTCGTTTGAACTAGCCCCAAAAGCTTTTTTGACGAGCAGAATTGATTTCACAGTTCTTCCTCTATTCGAATTGCTCAAAACAACACTTGCCCATCGGGCAAGTTTAAAACAGAATTCACTAGCCAGATAGCAAAATCCACTAGTCCCGGGCTATCGGACACTACTTTCTTTGCACTCTGAGGAACCTCTATATAGCGAAGTCCTAGGTTTAATGAACGATTGATTATTGCCCAGTAATAAAAGAGTTATCATTACAATCACAGTTAAAATAAAATTACATGTCAGTATACAGTGGGGTTTGCAGCATTGCAGTGAGTGACTAATGTTTCATGTGGTGATGCATAGCAGTCCTTTTTATCTCAACTAATGATAGGCTGATTTAGCAACAGGACGGGAACGTCAGTTGGCGATAGGAAAGCACGGGGAAAGGACAAAACACGACGTCCAGTGCCCAATTTACCGCTCTACCATTGGTCAAGCCAGTTGTTTGATTTGCGCGCACCATTGTCAACAGACGACTCCCATTCTGTTGCTAAATCAGCCTAATATTGTTATGTCCCAATAATCCAATGTCCCTCTTCACATGTGTTGCATTTAGTAAAATACAATAAATATAAGACAAAGTTGACGTTTGGTTTCTCTGAAAATTTGCTGTTCTACCATTGTTATATGATTCATGGCAATAAAGCATGATATCACTAGAGAAATGTGACTAAAAACCCTTAAATCCAGGCCCTACATGCAGGTTATATTCTACAAGGTTAAAAGTGCATTTTTGCATTATTTACTAAAATAGAAGATATATGTAGCTTGCAACTAATTAATCAGCCAGCGTTCTGGATTAGGTCACTCGCTGCCGCGCTGTTCCTTCTTCTCCATTTGCATGGCTAATCACTCCATAAGAAAAGCCCATTTGTTTCTGCTCTGTAGAAGACACTAGTGACCCGTCAATGTCTGTAGTAACTGGTGCATATTTCTGTGATTTACCAGGTACAGAGTTTGTCTGATCCAAAGCCTTTGGAGATTGCTGTGCTCGTGTATCTGATCTGGAAAATGCTGAAGATATTTTCCGGGCCACATAGCGCCCAGCTATGAAGAAAAAATTGAATTAAAATTCGAGTTCAGTATAGCCAGAAAGTCATTCCTGCTGTCATAGTCTGATATAGGATAAACATACGTGAACTATGGCTACTTGTAACTTTCATTCGAAACAACTGACTTGCATAAAAGAGGTTTATGGGTGTAACTGTTTGTTGACAGTTACTAGGTAGTTAAACCTTAAAACTCTTCAAGCCCATGAATAAAAATTTCAATCTCGAATGCTTCACATTATTACAAGCACCAAAGGTTACCAGCACCTCAGTGTCGTGACGAGAGAAAGAACAGCCTAGGTGTCGCATTCTTACCTAGCAAAACCATTAAGATAAGGTTCTACAAATAGCTTACCGTTAATTATTAGTCACACCATTCTTTGAAATAACAATATTCGGTTCCTTAATTGATTTCCTTTACCCTTTGGCGTACGTTAAATCTTCGTTTTCTTCAAGAAAGTTCAAGAAATAATACGTTGTCACTCCTTGGTAACCACCCGTATAAAGGAGACTGGGCCCCAGCTAAGATCTGGAGACCAGGACCAAGAATTACAACTTGACAACCCGTCCCAGAAAACTAAGTGCAAGGTGTCAACAGACACATACCGTACTTGATTTGTTCAAACGTCAGATTTACAATTTTGACACGCAAGTGACTAGTGCTTATCTGGGTGGGCCATGTCAGAGGAGTTACACAACTCACAATCCCCTGATTCGCTCTGACAAATGGC